TGAACCTGTTGTGCCTACTCGCCTTGCGTGAAGGATGTCACCTTGATAAGACTCCAGATCATTGATGATCTCGTCGGGGGTGGCCTCCGAGGCAATTCTACGTATATCACCTCGGCAGGAGTTGTTTGGAGCGGCCAGGTAGGAGTGGACGGGAGGGCAAGTGTTTTGTAAGGTGATATTGGTGATGCGAAGTAGCCAGTTGACGATCGCTTCGTGATGGGTGCGGAGGACGGTTACTTCGCCGGAGGTGGAGCGACACGTCGGTACATGTATGAGCAGGGAGCTGTGCGGCCTGCAAGAACGCCGGCAAACTGTCAAGAGGCAACGCATATGCGCCAGCAGGACAGACTGGGAGATGCACTATAGCTACGTGAAGTTCGGGGTCAAAGTCGGCCGGAAGACGAGATTTGCGGGGCTTTCCAGGGGTGATCCATTTCCCACCTTGGTCGTCTCGCTCTAGAGAGATTTTCATGTCCTGGCTCAGGATGGACGCAAAGATATTGGTGAGCTGCGAAGCGACGATGTCGGCTGTAGCCATATTCGAAGCAGAAACGGGCGTGCCGCTCGCAGAACGAGACTCAAGCGAACCGATCTCTCGGCGGACGTGCTCCGGCGGGCCGACGGAGCGCGGCGATGTTTATACCAGGATCACGAACAGTCGCGTACAGTTCTCTGGGGTTTGCGGAGTATTTGTGTCTTAATGTGTATAGTATTTGTGTCTTTATTTTGCCTTTTTCGACGGGAGTGCCGACGGACAACAGGCGGCTTCGCGCGTCGTTTCCCGGGATGAGTACTACCATTGCTACAGATTCCTATCGCGCTGTTAGCTGTTAGTGTTGGTTCAATTTGACCCGCGTACGGTCGAGAGGAGCCGCTTATGAACGCCCGCGCACGTGTCATAGGGATAGGCACAGCTCTGAATCAACTATCATGACACGAGAGCCGAGCGCGCTGTGATTTGGCCACCCACGCTCGCTCCATTTATTCGCACTGTAGCGTATGCGTTCGTGTGCCGCTTACTTAACTAAGATACAGCACACCGCTGTATCTTAGGGGGGCAGGGCAGGGCCCGAGGGTGGGGCCCTGCCCTGCCTCCCCTCCCCCCTGCGGATCTCACCAGGGGGGGCACGAGCCCCGATGCCCCCCTGAAGTCTACGCCTATGCTTAGAAGCAATAAAAATACATTGGAATAGATAAAAACAGCTAATGGAATCGAAAAACAGAGGATTAAGAGGAGGCAAGCGACAAGGCAATGCAATCTCAAGGCAGAGCGGCTAGGCGAGGGACAGTCTCTCCCACAAATCCTCGTGCTTGGGGGATTTTGCAAAAGGGCTATTTATATCAAGTTTAAAATGAACAGCACTCTTCATTGATGGCTGGTTCACACGACGAACTGATCCACAGACGGATTGATCATGTCCAGCGGTTCGTCCGTCTCCCAAGCGCACCCACACGAAGGAGCAGACGCGCAAATGACAGCCAGGACGAGCCAAACATGTTTGCGACCACACTGGGGTACTGTTGTCCAAGATCGAAATCGACATTTGCTGCTTTGAACAAGAACTGTGCGCCACTGTGACGTGCGGAGTGAGACATAACACCATGATAGGCTTAGTGCGAAGTGCCACTAGCCTTACTAAACCAAACCATGGCAGAGACACAAGCATGGGCCTGCTCGAGGAGACTTTGGCGTGGAGGCGGTGAAGTCCTGGGCCCGCTAAGTGGCATCTGGAGATGCCTTCACTCACTTTGCACTTGCGCCATCAGTACACCACAGCCACAAGAAAGGTCTTGGTGGGTGAAAGGTTGATTGGAGATTCAAAGTGATTGCGGTGTGGTAGACGCGTCTTTACAGAAGCTTTTCGACGCAGATGAGTACCAGATTAAGGGTCGTGTCAGTTGGGCAAAGTTCCTCATGCCAACCTTTTTGGTATGAGAATTGAAATGTCATTTTTCTTTAAAAGTCTTACTTGCAACTTTCAGGAAAGCACAAGCATTACAGACCAGCTGCCCTCACAATCATGACACCCCCCCCCCCCTTTCTCTTCCTGGTAGTTGCTGTCGGTGAGCAACCTGATAACCTTGGGCTTTTCCGCTTTTCTAATAGAAATTAGCGGTTCTTGTACATGTGCAAAAGTGAAAAGTATGCTACTGCCATGTTTGTCAGTTTTGTAACTCTTTATTCCCTCAGACCACAAATTTGTCTTCAGCTTGGTTCACATGCACCGCACATTCATGGCATCTTGTATCCAAAAATATCTATTGTGCGTTGGATGTGTGTGTGGGGGGGGGGGGGGGGGGGGCATTACTTTGCTGGTTGAGTTGGTAGGCAGGAGATTGCGAGAAACAAAAGGGTAGATAAAATACAACAGTCAATTTTACTATGAAAACCTTTTAATACAGGACTGGCGAAAAAATGAGAACACGAAAAAGTATGACGTCCCGTCCTCCTCTTACTCTTTACTTTCTGTAACCTAGTCTGGTAATTTAGGATCATATACTACTACATAAGATTCAACGACGTGGAAGGTGTTGGTGCACCTTAACCCATTTTGGACGAGCCTCGCTCGTCTACCTAAGGCCGTTCCTAAACCGTTTAGGATGAGTGTAACTTATCCGCACACTATACCTCGCCCCTTGGCTCTTTTTGGACATCCCAGGCTTGTTCCGAGCATAGTTTGCGGTGCTGCTCAGAGATGGCAGCATGTATTTTTCTTATTGTATACATTTTTAAGGATGGCGACTGATTGTGGAGACATGTGCAGCTTGGGCCGTACGCGCAATAAATATAGAAAAAACAACTTAGGATCAAAAACTGAAGAAAAAATAAACGGTTAAGGTAAACAGTGTGCGACATTATTATGCAGTTTCCTCGTTCCTTCGACAATGTCTAATTGGATACGAGAAACACTTTTATGACGTGCAGGCAACGTCAACAGAAATGTTTGGCGTGAAATGACACGCCAAAAATACAATATAAGATAGCTATACTGCTAGGACCCATTGTATGTTCCTGTAACCCTGCTAGATTTGTTTTGAGAATGGCGCGATAGTTTCGTGGATAAATCCACTTATGTGTGAATCCCTTGGAGGGGCGGATCCAAGCAGAACTGGAGGCTGGCTTTGTAGCCAGCCTCCAGCGCGATGTCTCCTTGCACGCACTCACAGATTTGGCTATCTTGGCGTCTCGAGCTTCAGCTTTCTCGTTTACCTTCCACGTTTCGAGCATGCGGTTTGTGATGATTACGTCTACGACATCGCTCGCCTTGTCAAAGTGTTCGACATTGATTGCAGCAGCGATGAGTATGATTGCTATCAAGAGGTGTTGAAAGCTGTTCATTTTGACTGCGACCCGCTGGCGACAAACTCCAGTGACGGCGAGTTACGGACGAACTCGTTGTGGTCACTGTCGCCCGGGAATATCTCGCAGGCACGTGCAGGGTGGAAGGTCAACGGGCCGGCGGCGAGAGCGAGAAAAGCATTTGGGTTACCGAGTTGCGCGAGCGGTTTTGATCGTACCGCGGCGAGGAGAGCTTGGGCGATCATGGGGGCCCCTAGAATGAGAGAGCGTTCATGGTCACATGGTTTATGGGCGTCTGCTGACGAGGTGCAAATCGGAGGAATAGCCGACATGATGGTAACGTGACAAACGGTCCACGGATGAAAATTGCGATTCAATCCATCGCGTGAATCTGCCATTATTTGACAATTGTCCTAATATGATTAATTGATCCCTATTAAAAAAGAACAATTGTTTTCTGAAACAATGTAATGAAAGGAAATTTTTATAAACAATGCCTGCTCCTTTGACAATGGAATATACGAGCCTTGGTATAACAGGAACTTTCCGTAGATCAGACATACGTTTATTCCTTGCTGAAAGTAAAGGCGTGAGTTTGTCTTGGCAATGCCAACCTCCTGTGTATGATCTGTAAAAACTCCTTAATGACCGTGGTCAAGGGAGAGGAGTTTCTACTTTCAAGAACAGGGATCGGATGAAAGAAAAAGTGTCTCGATGAACAATGAATGCTCCAGCTTATCCACTCAGCTAAGTTTCTGCAACATGAACTAGGCTCTAAGAGAAAGACATAGGATAAACACTTCGAAATCTTTAGGATTTGCCAAGGGATGAAGTTAATTAAATGCAATTAAAAGCAGGGGGAGGAGGATGGCAAGAAAATTTTGGGGCTTGTGTTCTTACACTTGAATTGTTTGTGCAGGAACCATTACTGAAGCAGCACTTCATTCCTGAGGCAATAATTTATTGCTAGTCAAAGCCAGTAAAGATTCTTCCTTCCAGGAGTGATGGTGGTTTTCCCGGCACTCCGTCGTCTCCCTCGGGTTTCGATGGAGCCGGGTGACCGTGGAGTGTCGTGCGGCGGTGCGGGGATCTGCCGTTCTCGCCAGTCAGGAGCCGGAGAACTCGATGGAGGTTTTTCGACAAATATATTTACAAAGAAGAACGAATATAGTACAAGGCTGTCACGCTGCTGCTGCCGCTCACGGCAGCCCGACGTCGACAAAAGCGCCGCAGCGCCAAATCCGTTGCCGCGCACGGCAACTTCTCTACCCCGCAGGATAAAGTACGCGGAGCCCTCGGGACCGCGGGAGATGACTTCTTGCTCCGCTCACGGGCTCGTTCAAACTCGCCTTTTCCAAAGAGGCGCGCCGACATCCCGAAGGGAGGCCGGACATCCCTCTCTCCCCGGAGTCGCCGACATGCCCTGACAAAGTCGCTTCGTCAATTACCACGGCGGCAAGGGCGACCACCCGCGAACAGAGGTTTGTTTACTTCCCACGCGGGGAAATCTGCTACCACTTTCGGGAGCTGGCCTCCGCTTGCCGCCAAAGGGAAAGACAAGACATCGGGCGCCTCCGAAGGACGCTTCGGGTGACCTCGCCGCCAATTCCCCGAGCTCCTTCCGCTAAGCTCCCCTCGCCATCCTTACACGCCCCCCCCCTGAAAACTGTGCCGGGACTTTTGGACCGGCCAACAGTTACTACAATAGGATGGCGGCGTAGCCAATAACAACCAAGAAAAGTATACACAGTAACTCGAAAATAATGCACGCGTACGTCAGAAATAAAGCCACACTCTCTTCATACTGCACTCCTTGCTAGAATGCGAGGTCCCTCGATTAACGAAAACCAAGTGAAGCAACGCCAATCCTCTATACCCGCGGCTACGGGAACAATGATAAACATGTCATGCATCAGTGGCACCTTGGTGGGCCCCTTCCGCTCGTACCCACAACAACGTTAAAGTAGCAAAAGTTCCCTGCCACAAAAAGGAAAGTCAAGAAAACACATAATCGCTGCAATGCGAGTCCACGTTAGCTAGCACTTAAGAGCCGTGGCCGTGATCGCCTCCCCGCCCGCGCACCGGCTGACACCATGTACATACATGTGAAGAGCGGGTATGCGCTCCCTGCCATTGTGCGCTTAATCTCCAATCGCCCCAACTACGGTGCCCTAGCCCCAACAGCTGTTCGGCAGCCTAGAGAGCGCGTCTGCGTTGACATGTTCCCTCCCCTTTCTGTGAGTCACCGTCACGCTGTAGCGCTGCAGCGCCAGTGACCACCGAATCAACTTGGCGCTCTTCGGAGTGCTGGCGGTCAAGTAGGCGAGCGGGTTATGGTCTGACACCACGTTAACTTGGGCCCCAAACAGCCAGTTGTCGAATTTTTGCAACGCCCATATGACGGCGAAGGCCTCTTTCTCAACTGTCGCCCAGCTCGACTGAGTGGGAGAGAATTTGTGGCTGGCGAAAGCGACAGGCCCCTCCCTCCCCCCATCCGACACCTGCGCGAGACAAGCCCCGACCGCGAAGTCCGACGCGTCAGTAAACAACCAGTATGGCCGACCGGGGTCCGGCGTCGTGAGAGCCGTGGCGTTCATGAAAGCTGCTTTCAGTCCCTCGAAGGCGCGCTCGGCTCGGTCTCCCCACGGCACTGTGTTCGGTACCCGCTTGGCGGTCAACTCGGTGAGGGGTAGGACCAGCTCCGCGTAGCCGGGGACGTACTCTCGATAGTAGCCACAAAGGCCGAGCACGCTCCTTACCTCTTTCTTGGTGATGGGCCGCTGAAGCCCTCTGATTGCCTCAAGCTTTATGGGGTCCGGGGCATGCCTCCCCGAGCTGATCACGTGCCCCAAATATGCGATCGACGGTCGGGCGATTTGACATTTGTCCGTCGCGACGGTCAGGCCCACGACGGCAAGTTCCGAAAGAATGGAACGCAAGTGCTGTAGGTGCTCGTCCCACGACCCGGAGAATATCGCGATGTCATCCAGGTACGCGCACGCGTAGTCGCGATGCTCTCGCAGGAGCGAGTTCATTATCCGCTGAAATGTCGCCGCGGCATTTTTCAGCCCGAAAGGCATGACCCGCCAAGCGTATTGGCCATCGTGCGTGACAAAGGCCGTGTAACTCTGACTCTCGAGAGCCAGGGGCACCTGCCAATACCCGCGGCGGAGATCCACGAGTGAAATGTACGCGGCTCGACCGACCCTCAGGATTAGCTCTTGCGGCAGCGACATCGGGAAGGCATCGTCACGAGTGACCTCATTGAGGCTCCGGTAATCGATGCACATCCGCATGCCGCCGTCTTTCTTGGCCACGCAGACAACAGGGTGCGCGAACTCACTCTCGGCGGGATATATCAATCCCAGCTCGAGGAGCTCGCCCACCTGCCTGGTCACCTCACCTTTCAATACCTCGGGAATTCGATAACGGTGCGGGCTCTTCCAAAAACAATCCTCCCTCAAAATGATTCGGTGTTCGCCCACATCAGCCACTCGGGGCCGCTCGACGAATAGCTGACCGAACTCGGACAACAGCTCCCGCATCTGAGCCCTCTTGGGTTCGATCAGGTGGGTCAGTGCCTCCTCAGGGAATACCGCGGTGTCGGGAGAACCCGGAGACGGCCTTTGTGGCGTATAGCCGACCTGTCCGAAATCATCATCTTCGTGAAAGATCACTCCGACCTGCCCCACCCTCGCGTGGTACCGTCTAAGCATATTGGCGTGCACCGTGCGCCTCCTGCCCTGTTCGGTCTCTATCACGTACGAGTGATCGTGATATTTGGCCACTACAGTGTGTGGCCCGCTCCACTTGGAGAGCATTTTCCCTTGCATATTGGTATCAAACAGGAGAACGTCATCCCCTACCTCAAAGCTCTTTGCCTTGGCCTTTCGGTTATAGTAGGAGGCGTAATCCCTCTGTCGCTGAATGGACGTAAGCTGCGCGGCGCTTGCCGCCCTCTCCAGCTTATTCCGCAGCTCGTGAAGGTACGCCGCCGGCTGTTCCCGCAGGGTCTGTGGCATCTCGACCTGACCGGTCCAAGCGTCCTTGAGTATGGCCAGTGGACCGTTCGGAGTGCGGCCGTACAACAACTGGAATGGTGACGCTCCCGTGGTTTCATGGGGAACCTCTCGATATGCCCAAAGCAAGTAGGGAACGAACCTGTCCCACTGCCTACCCTCGTCCTTGATCACATGATGGAGCATATTCTTAAAAATTCTGTTCCACCTCTCGACGCTTCCATTACTTTCAGGGTGCTCGGGTGTCGAAAACCTGGGGGCGCACCCCAATCGTGCCAAAAACTCTTGCGTCAAGCTAGCGGTAAAGTTCGTTCCCTGGTCGCACGCTATTCTCTCCGGCACACCAGTACGGCTGAATATGCTAAGCAGTGCTTCGCAGGTTGCCCTAGCAGTCAAGGACCTAAGACAGACTACCTCCGGCCACCTCGTGTGCAGGTCTACCACGCAAAGAGCGTACCTATGACCTCTGGCAGATGGAGGATCCAGGGGCCCGATTACGTCCATGTTTACACACTGAAACGGAAACTCGGGGCGCGTGAGCGGTGTGATCGGAATACGATCGTCTGTGCGCCTATCCTTTCTCAACTGGCACGCGTGGCAGGAGTTGCAGTGTTCCTTTACCTCGGCTTCCATGGCTGGCCAGTAGAAAGTGTGTTTAATGCGCGCCATCGTCTTCTTAGCTCCAAGGTGACCGCCCCATGGTGATTCGTGGGCCAACAGCAACACCTCTTTGCGTCGCCCACTCGGAAGCACCAGCTGTGTTACACTTTCCCCGGAAAGTTTGTCGTGGTGCCACAGAAGTCCGTCTTGTACGAACATCCCCCCCTTCCCGACTTTGGCGTCAGCGAACGGTTTTGTCAGCGTCGGGTCGCGCCGTTGTTCGCCCGACAGCTCCTCCCTCCTAGCTCCCTTGGAGCAAGGGGCTTCCCGCTCGAACACGGGGCGATCGGTCTCGCTCCCCGTCGCTGTTTCCCGATCGCGTCGCGCCGTCAGTTCTCTGGGCGCCGCACCCTCCATCGCCCGGGTTACCACGTGCATGTGCGACTCTTCGCTACGTTCGGTCACTCCCGGGAGCTGCTCCCGCTCAGCCTCAGTGCGATTTAACGCTTCCCAGGCCTCTGCTGATAGCAGGCAATCCGTATGGGGCGCGAGTTCGTCCGTCACGGCACACAAGATCGGAACCCTTTCAACCACCGTGGGAGGGACGGTATTAGCCCCGCTTGGTGCGAGCTTCATATGAATAGTGACCAGCTTGGCTTGGATCTTGGATCCAAACGCGGCCACGAGAGTTATCGAACCGCTCGGTTCGAGGTCTCTCGGAAGCAGCAAGCTTTCACGCACGACGGTAATCTCGCTGCCCGTGTCTACGATGGCTTTTATGGGTTGCCCGCCGCAAATCACCTGTGTGTGAAGTAACGGCGACTGTACGCCTCGCCTCTCTCCTGATCTCTCGACCTTTGCCGCCAGCGTCTCTCTGTTTTCTAGGCTGACTACCACGCATTGTACCTTGGAGTCATTGGCGTCAGCGGTTGCCCTCTCCTCCCTCGACTGTGGACATGCGGCTGCCAGGTGTGACGGACTGCCACACCTGTAACATGTCTTGCCAACAAACCTGCCCCCTGAAGGCTTAAAGCCCCCGGGATTCTTCTTACCTTCTGGTTTCCGTGCAATCTCCCCCTTCTCTGCACCTCCCGCTCCAGGACGAACGGGCGTGGCGCTGCGGCACTCGGCTTGACCATGCAACGCGAGGAGGTCTGCGATTTGCGACCGATCGAACCACTCTTTCCCTTCCTTAAGGGTTATGTACTTAAGGGCGTCTGCACCAACCGATGCTTTCAGTTGGTCCGCGACTAGCAGCGCCTTCAGCCTCTCGAAGGAGTCCACGCCTCGTGCTTCTACGTAATACGTTAGATAGCTTGACAGTCGAGTGCCGAACTGCTGCCAGCTCTCGTCCTTCCTCCTTGATGTTGAGACGAATTTCTTACGATATTCGTCGGGCGAGAGCCGCAGCTCCTTCAACACCGTCTGTCTGATCTGTTCGAACGAGAACTGGTCCCCCTCTATCCGCGAACACAAGTAACCGTGGCGAGCCGCCACGACCGGGTATACCAAGTGCGCTCTAACCGCCTCCGGCACCTCGTATCTCGCGAACAGATTTTCCACCGTGTCAAACCACACTGGGACTTCTGCGTCATTCGGGAATTTTGGGATGGCTCCCTGGAGCATTCTCGAATAATGTTTTAACGTATCCCCATTTTTGCCCTCCTGATCGCGATCGCTCGCCAGTTCTCTCTCTCTCCGCTCGTTCGCCCGGAGCTTCGCGAGCTTTACCTGCAGCTTCAGCTGCTTTGTCTTTTCCCTCGCAAGGGTTATCTTGGTATCTACGCTACCCGCTCCCTCATCCAACAGACCGCCGTCTCCGTCACTAGCGCTTCCCTCGTCGCTCCCCGACAATGGCGTTGCGAGTTACGCGAAGCGCACGGGTGTCAGCCGGCGACCGGGGGAAAAGAGACCACGTACCTGGCAGTGCTGTGGAGTCTACGATAGCCGCTGATGTCGCCGGCCCGCAGGTCCTCGGCGTCGATCACACCCCGGGGAGTCCGTTGTCTTGAGGCTCCCTCTCCGCCGTAGCAGGCGCCGACGTTGTCTCGCTGACAAGTCTCGCTGAGTTGGTCACCCTTAGTCGACTGAAGTTCGTCTTCCCGAATTGTCGAGTTGCTGCCTCTCAGTGCCGCCGCGCACCGCACCAACACAGGCGTCGTCGTTTCCGCCCTTGAAGTCGTTGAAAGTGGCCGACGACGTCCACCATCCCCGTCGACTGCGCCAGTAAAGATTCTTCCTTCCAGGAGTGATGGTGGTTTTCCCGGCACTCCGTCGTCTCCCTCGGGTTTCGATGGAGCCGGGTGACCGTGGAGTGTCGTGCGGCGGTGCGGGAATCTGCCGTTCTCGCCAGTCAGGAGCCGGAGAACTCGATGGAGGTTTTTCGACAAATATATTTACAAAGAAGAACGAATATAGTACAAGGCTGTCACGCTGCTGCTGCCGCTCACGGCAGCCCGACGTCGACAAAAGCGCCTCAGCGCCAAATCCGTTGCCGCGCACGGCAACTTCTCTACCCCGCAGGATAAAGTACGCGGAGCCCTCGGGACCGCGGGAGATGACTTCTTGCTCCGCGCACGGGCTCGTTCAAACTCGCCTTTTCCAAAGAGGCGCGCCGACATCCCGAAGGGAGGCCGGACATCCCTCTCTCCCCGGAGTCGCCGACATGCCCTGACAAAGTCGCTTCCCCAATTACCACGGCGGCAAGGGCGACCACCCGCGAACAGAGGTTTGTTTACTTCCCACGCGGGGAAATCTGCTACCACTTTCGGGAGCTGGCCTCCGCTTGCCGCCAAAGGGAAAGACAAGACATCGGGCGCCTCCGAAGGACGCTTCGGGTTACCTCGCCGCCAATTCCCCGAGCTCCTTCCGCTAAGCTCCCCTCGCCATCCTTACAAAGCCTGTTTACAGAAATGCACATCAGGTGAGCGGCTTTTTTTTTTTTTTCTCTTAAACATGAGGTGCTTTTTAACGTTGCCCTCATGTTGTCCTTCCGTCCGTGCGCTTGGCCGCTAAATTTAGGGGGGACATTTTTGTTGCGTGACCTCTCCACAAGTTCAGTTTCTTCTCTAAATTTAGCAGAAAGTTGTGGTCACAGGATCTACAGACAATTTCAAGCTCTCTGATAAATTTAGCGGAAAAATGGATGTCACGTGAACTATGCAGCAATTCAGTTTTCCCTCTAAATTTAGCGGAAAAATTGATGTCATCTGACCTATGCACCAATTCAGTTCCCCTGCTAAATTTGGTGGGAAAATTGATTTCACATGATCTGACGTCATGTGACCTACAGACAAAGTCAGGTTACCTGCTAGATTTAGTGGAAAAATTGATTTCATGGAACCTATACACCAATTCAGTTTCCCCACCAAATTTGGCAGAAAAATTTATATTGCGTGATCTGACGTCATGTGACCTAGAGACAAAGTAAGGTTCCCGCTAAATTTAGCAGAGCGATTTATGTTATGTGACCTTTGCACCGATTTAGCTTTCCCACTAAATTTGGCAGAAAAATTGATGTCGCGTGACCTGACGTCATGTGGCCTATACACACATTCAGTTTAAAATAAAATGAACAAAATGAAAAAAAATTAATTGATGTTTTTACTTTAAAGAAACAAATTTTCTCTAATTGTTTTGATTGAGCACCAGTGCCGTAAACTGCTAATAGCAGCCTTGAACAGTAAAGTTTGCACATCAGAAGGGTTGCTGATTTTTAACAGTATCTTTTGTCTCTTCCAACTCTTCAGTTCTGGGGGGAATAAGTCATCGCTAGTCAATGCCTGATTCCACAGATGCATATCAGGTGAGCACCTCTTAATGAAAAGACTTTGCTCTCATTGTTCTAATTTAACACTAGTGTGGAAAATCTTGTTTTACTACGATTCTTGAGGTGAAAACGGGTATAGTATTTCAGGTTAAAAATTCAAATTTGGGGGTTTTACGTGCCAAACCAACGACGGGCATCTGGCACGCCCTAGCGGAGGACTGAGGATTAATTTGGACCACCTGGGGATTTGGACCACCTGGGGACCATAGGAGCTAAGCCTTTTTCTTTCTTTACTTTTTTCTCGGGTAAGTTTGCTGTTTGCAAATTTTACAAAACAAATGCACCATCTGTGGGCAACGCTGCACAAAGTCGTAGCGCGATAGATTAAGAAACCGAATTTTGTGGTCGATTCAAAGAGCCTGGCCTCTCCTTGAATCACTCTGTACTTGTGTGAACGCTGTGACGTAAAGCCATGCCTCCACATCACAGCGTCCACGCAAGTTGCTGTTGAAACTGCCATGCAGCACCCCTTTTCGTCGCTCATGTCTCCTCTGCTTCAGAGTCGTGTATAAGGAGAGTTTAAACATTCGTCGGAATGTATACGAGGCAAATGAGGAAGCACCATTGGCCGAAGGTGGGCTGGGCATGTTCCAGAGCATTTTCAGAAATGCAAATATGGTCAACCAGAAGCTGCGCATAATACACTGGCGGTGGTTGCGAAAAGCAAAATTAATAAGTGCGTCTTGGTAACTCTCGGTCAGTGTTGGCGGTAACGCGTTACAAGTAATGGCGTTACCGGTAACGCGTTACTTTTTTTGGTAACGTAGTAACGTACTCGTTACTTTCCCGAAGAAGTAACGGGTAACGTACTTATGTTACTTATTTTGAGTAACGTGTAACGAAATTACGTTACGTTACTTCACTTCCTAAAACTTAAAAAAATTAAATTTTAATTTTTTTGTGCTATTAAGTGCCCAGTCATAAATTCCTTAGTCAAAAAATGCCGCTGTCCTCCACTTTTCTTTGCCGTCGGTGCTCGTCAGATTTGACGTCACGCGCCACGTGCCACTGGATTTCTCCCGCGGCTCGTTGACCTCGCTACCGCCGTCACCTCGGCTGGAAGGCCAAAGAGGTCCGGCTTCGGGTGGATTGGGGAGATTCCTGCGTCGAAGCCTGCGTTTCGCTTCCCGCTGGAAAAGAGAATGACACCTTCGTGTCATTCCCTTTCCCGTTTCCCATGTTATAAATCAGCTTCATATATACTTCCGCCTTTTTCTTGTAACTATTCGGGTGAAACCCTAAAAAAGAGAGGGCAATTAAGTTTCCGCATGGACATATTTTAGCTATGGCGCTTACGCACATTTGAAACGTCGAAACAGCAAATGTTTTAGTTCGTGAATAAAAAGTAACGCAACAGTAACGTCCGTTACTTTTTATCAGTAACGGTAACGGTAACGCGTTCCTTTTATTTTGAGGTAACGTAGGTCGGTAACGCGTTACTTTTATTTGCAAGTAACGAGTAACGTATTTAGTTACTTTTTTTTGGTAACGCATACAACACTGCTCTCGGTGACTGGAAATGTGGTGCACATGATGTTTTGATCACGGTCATGCAACATCATGGTGGAAGATACATAAAGATATAGAAGATATAAAAAGCATGCACGACCAACAGAACGATTGACATAATCCGAGCACCGGGAATCTTCCATGGAAGCGATCAGACTTTGAGCAAAACAGAAATCAAGTGGCACAATCGTTTCTTACATCTTCTTGCATAACCATAATTGAAACATTGTGTGCACCATAACCATGAAGAGGTACTGCATTTAACCTTTACGCACTTATTAAAACTGTTTCTCACTACCACGGCTAGGAGATTCTTTTCGGCTTCTGGTTGGCCAAGAGATCTTGTCAAGCCCTCTATTTGCGTCCCGGTGTTAGGTATCTGCATTGCCCTAACTTCGTTTGCGCTTTCTTCTCTGTTCTAAACTCCCAAACTTAATTCGAGCAACGGGCATCGATGGCGACAGTCCCTCAGTCATGGGGACACCATTGCTCGGTTTTAGGGTACACGAATAACGACAGAAAGCGTTGAATACTGTTTGAGGACCTATGTATCTTGCACGGAATACGGCAAGGTGAGTGCGGCTGTTTCTACATGACCCCAATCTCCGGTGGCAGTGGTTTGCTTCCGTAAACTGAAAAGACTTTTCTCCAACGCCATCCTCTCGACCGTACTCGTAACATTTTGTGAATGGAGCGCACACCGAACTTAACGCTGTACCGTCGATGAACATGGGGTACGCTCGCAAGGTGCGTGCAAGTTTTCTCGAGATAATTGCTGTTTCAGGTTGTAACATTTTCTAACTGAATTTATCTTAATATTGATATTTCAAAGTGTTGACAATGACTCAATTTTATCAACTACAACGCTGAGTTGAAGGCTGATTTCCGCCGCCGGGTGTGGCTGAAAATTGTCGAAACGCTTGCTCTATAGTACGCCTCGCAAGTGGGCTCACTTTCGTCTTCTGCGCGTGAGAAAGGAACTAGCGGTGACGTCAGAACGCCGAGCCCTAATTGGCTGATCGCGACGCCCTGAGTGTCGTTTTGCTCCTTTGCAACGTCGTCTGCTCGCAACGTCGTCTGCGTCTGTCTTGCCTTTCCTGCGACTTTCGGAGCGAACTCGACTTCGGCAGACGAAATAACTGGAGCGGTACGTTGTTTTTGTCTAACAACTAGCAGACGCGCATCAAGGAGGGAAGTCAAAAGACTCACTGGCGAGGTGTCCCGGGGCGCCGAGGTTTGTTTGCTTAGAACCGAGAGTGAGCGTGTTAGTGCCCGCAAGTTCCCTCCC